TCAGACAAACACACAACCTGGGGCCCATAATCAATGTGTAATGAAGAGGTTTACAGATCGCCAAAAATCTATCGTAAGACATTGCTGAGAGAAGGAAGCTCTCCGTCACAGCAAATATACCAAATAAGAAAAATTGCATGAAACAGCCAGCAAGGGAAAAAATAGCCCCATTTCTAAGTAAGATATAGAGCATGGGGGGAATGATATTGCTGGTGAACAGAATTTCCGACAGAGACAGATTGGAGAGGAGCACATACATCGGAGAATGTGAAAGTTTAGTGAAGAACACCAACAAGATGATCAAGAGATTGCAAGTCAAAGTCACAGTGTAGGTGACAAAGAACAGGCCGAAGAGGACAACTCTGTAGCTTTGGTGGGTCCTCAACCCAACAATAAAGACATTTTCAATCGATGAATCATTCCGAATTTCCGGCAAGTGTTGCGGAGTAAATTCTTCCATGCCTTCAATAAATAGGAAATACATACAAATTGATTTTACAGTTTTATCAAAAGTTTCATGTTGTGTCACTCAAAGGGTCTGACCATCCGATAGAAAAAATACATTTTGCATGTCCCAACAACCAAATAACTGACCAAGTGCCGGACACAATATAAATGTGATGTCAGGTACAATTGTAAGTCGTTGGAGGAGCCCTCCGCATACCTCACAGCAGTCCCGGCCAAATAAGAAAAGATGGAGCTCGCAGTGATGTTGGATCACGGATAGCGCCGTGCAGACAAAGGAAAAGCAGGGAATCACCAGCACTCGATAATGAAAATAAATATGTCCTTTTAATTGGACAAAAACGTCACAATAAAAAGGACATATTTATTTTCATTATCGAGTGCTGGTGATTCAGGTACAATGTTGCTACAAAAATAATTTAAAAACAAAGATGCCGCTTGGAAAGAAGATGGTGACTACCTACCTCTCCCTCCTCCTGATCTGCACTTTATTATGAGGATACAGCTACCCGAAGACTCTTCAGCACTAGACGTTTCCTGGTCCCCGCTGTGATCTGTGGTTCCTCCCATTGGCCCTTACATCACTGCAAGACACAGTAGTGGTGTGGAGGTCAGTGGAAGGTACCAATGAGTGCTGTGGTGGACACAGATGGAATCTCCAGAAGTGTCAGTTTCAGAAGATCTTCAGCTGGAGATTAGTCAGGCATGCGGGAGTGCTGAGCATTCTCAATTTCCTTCACAGGTACATCGTTTATCGGTAGATTTCATTATGTAGCAGGGTCACTTTAATAATAAACAGAGTGGATTTAATTTTTTTCTATAGTGTGAGGTGAGGTGATTATAACCTGTGTTCATTCCAAATATCCCATCATGTCAATGAGAATCTAAAAATGAGCTTCTTGTGATTTAACGTTTCTAAAATAAAGACAGAAGTTTGTATTGCAGCTCTTGTCTGTACAATGTATACGGGGTTTAGTGAGATGTCATAGCCATTGCACCTTGAAAGATACATGTATAGCGAAAAGGGATTGGGGTTTCATGAGATGTCAAAGCTAATGCATGGCTATTACACCCCATTAAACCCCAATCCCTTTTTGCTATACATGTATCTTTCCAGGGGAGAGGTGTCTTCAGATAGGACACACCGAGGCAATCAATTTTTGTGTTACATCTGTACAATGTATATATTGTAGCACCATGCAAAGCACATGTGAAGTCATGGAGTTATTTTAAAACAAATTAGCCTGCTGGCTGCGACACTACAAAAACCAAGACAATCCATGTAAAACAATTGTCCTAGTCAGCCTTGATTGGTTTAATAAACAAGGTTCAATAAAAAAGTAGAGATTTATTCATTTGTAAGTTGGCCAAAACATTCTATAAGTGCAACATAGCAACAGCTGGCTGCTAATGCTGTGCTACCTCAGCAAATCTTTACATGTGAAAATAAAACTGTGTGCTGTTACATAGAGATAACTTGGTGCACCATATGGTATGTAGACTTAGTAGTTAAAAAAAGACAAACGTGATACAAAAAAAGAATACAGGACATGAAACAAAAAAATACATTAACGCCCGGCTGTCATTTGCGTGAAGAACGGTTGGCCCTTTGGGTGTCACTACGGTTCAGCCGAGCTGAAGCATATGCATTTGACTGCCTTTGGCTGCTGTATGGGCTATTGTGCATAGCCCCTACAGCAGCACTTCGGTTCGATGGAACCAAAGGGCTCAGGCGGCCGAAGTGAGCCGAAGGATCAGCCGAAGCTACAGCTGGATCGTTCGGCTCCATAGTGAATAACACTCATAGTAGTTAAAAAAAGACAAACAAAAAACAAACGTGATACAAAAAAGAATACATGACATGAAACATAAAAAAGATCAAAATAAAAAATAACATTCTGTACCTAACAAACAAACAGGTTCCGGTGCTGGTACGGGGGACACAGAGCGCCGGTAATGAATGTAATCTCAGTATCTCTGGAACTATTAGAAGGTTCATAATAGAGTTGAGGGTTTCTTTTGGTATTATATGGAAAGTTTCAGTATAAGTCTCCTCTTTTATAAACTGGATACATTTATAAAAAAAACATTTAATATTTAAATATAGAAGGAATTTTGTGCTTTACACCCAGTATGTGTGTGATGTGTTTGGTGCCATTCACCTCACCTTTCATAAGACTAAACCATGAAAATGATCCTCTAATTCTGCAGGTTTCCTCTACTTTCAGAAAATGTTTTTGTTTGCCGGGACTTCAGTGAGGTTTGACGTCTGTGCCGTGTGTTGTATTGTTAGATGTAAAAACGTGAGATCTGGCTCTGACAGCCGGCGTAGAAAACTTGAAGCTTGACCTTGGAGATGAAAGGGTTAATATCGCTTAACATAGACATTCGGGTTTATTTTGTAAATCTTTACCATCAGACAATAACATGGTGTGGTGATACATAGAATTAACACTGTATGGTATGAAGACTTAAAAATACCAAAAAAAAAAAAAAATGTGATACAAAAAAAGAATACATGAAACATTTAAACATAAAAACATCAACACATGTACATAAAAACATCAAAGTATGCGCCTAACAAACAGGTTCCGGTTCTGGTACAGGGGCACAGCGCTCCGGTAATGAGTGCAGCCTAAGTATCCCTGGACCTACTAGAAGGTTTATAATAAAATGGGGGTGCCTTTGTGTTTCCTGCTTAGTTACTATTATAGAAAATGTTTTAGTATAAGTCTCCACATTAACATTTATATTTGTACATTAATTTTTTATTTTTTTTTAATATAGAAGGAACTGTGTGCTCTCTATCCAGTATGTGTGTGATAACAATGTGATTGGTACCATTCACCTCACCTTTTGTAAGACTAAACCATGTCAATGATCCTCTAATTCTGCAGGCAGAAAATGTTTTAGTTTGCTGAGACTTCAGTGAGGTTTGACGTCTGTGCCGTGTGTTTTATTGTTAAATGTAAAAACGTGAGATCTGGCTCTGACAGCCGGCGTAGAAAACTTGAAGCTTGGCCTTGGAGATGAAAAGGTTAATATTGCTAACCATGGACAAACCTGATTTATTTTAAATTTTTGACTGATCAGATGTGTCCAGTGCAGTGCTCTGTATTAAATTCTAAAGACAACAATGTGACACCTTTCATAAAATTAAGAAGCAGATAATAAAAACTATATAAAAGAGGAAAAGATAATGTAATCAGCCAGTGACAGAACATGTGCTCTAGTTAGCACAGGAAATAATGAACATTCTACACGCGTCCGCCGTATATTTGTACCTTCAATGTCAGTGAAATAATGAGATGTAATTGTTCTCTGCGAGGGGGTCGAATGTTCGACCCCCATGCAGCTGCCGGTACATGTGGCTGCAGCGGCCTGTGTCCCTTCAAATCACAGCTGTTCTCCCCGCCTGTGTTGGCGGAGGCAGCGGGGGGACATAGACCGCTGCATTCCTAGCTGCCCCCGTACCTCTGCTGCTGTCTTCCCCTGGTCCGTTGGCTTCTCCGTTCCCCCGTGCGGCCGCGGCACCTCGTCTTCTTCTGGTCCGTCCGCTCCTCTTCCCGGGTCCGTCCGCTCCTCTTCTCCTGGTTTGTCGGCTCCTCTTCCTCCGCTCCGTCGGCTCCTCCGCTCCGTCGGCTCCTCCGCTCCGACCGCTTCTCCTCTGCCTCGCCCCTTCTTCATCTGCAGGCTTTGAGCCATACCTAGCCAAAGCCTGCAGATTAGATATTGTAAAATGCAATAGCCAATAGCAAGCTGGCTATTGCACCCGCCTGCTGTCAATCAGCATGGGGGGACCAGATAGAGAACTTTCTCCTTCAGGCCCCTCCTCCGCTGAACCCTAATTGGGCAAAGTCTTGCACCTGACCTCTGGTCAGGTGCAAGACTTTACCAAATCAGAGCTTCAGTGGGCATTTTGTATTAAGGAATGTCCGCAGTCGAACAAACCGCGAACATCCCATAAAGTTCGGCGAGCGCTCAAACTGCCGATGTTCGAATCGAACACTCAGCCCATCCACAGTAATACTTTAGGCGCCCTGTGCGAGAAAGCTTTACAGCGCCCCTCAGTGACCACACCCCTCCGTGGCCACACACTTTAGCGGCCACACCCCCAGTAACCACACCCATTTCCCCCAATATCCGCACCATTTAAAGACTCCTATTTTGTTAAGCCGCAAAGAAACATTAATAAGTATGATAAAAATAAAACTTTTATTCAAAGGTATTAAACTTGTCGGCACAATAGAAGTATTCTTATCAATTAACACAACAGAAGGTAAACAATAAATGTCAGACTACAATGGAGTCTATACAAATAAAGTTTCAGGACCAGAGCTCGGTTCCAGCTGCAACCGCTGCAACCCCGGTAGTTCTCATGAAAATGCCAAGTATCGGCACTGGTATCTGAACCCTATACCCTATCACACATAAATAAATTGTCAATAAGCCTGCTGGGAAGCCACCCTTTTATAGTAAGGGGATTGCTCATCCAAAAGCCCACCTGTTCCTCCTTGTAAGCCAGCTGACCTAAATCAAAGGCCAGGCAGTGAATTAGGGTTATTATGGCAAATTTCTGCATTGGTTCGCCGGGTCTGTGGACCTCGAACTCGCAGGGTTTGCCTTGAAATCATAGTAGACCCAAACCTGAACTTCATCCCTGATGACAGGGTTTTTCTTATAGCTGCATTGATCTCTTGGTTCCTCAGGGTGTAAATAAAGGGGTTCACTAGTGGGGTAACCACTGTATAGAGCAAAGATAGAACTTTGTTCATTGTTACAAACTTTCCAGGTGAAACCACATAGACCATTATCAAGGTGACGTAATACGTGGAGACGACTCCCAGGTGGGAACTGCAGGTGGAGAAAGCTTTCTCTTTGCCCTTGGATGACGAGATCCTGGTGATAGCTCTGATGATAAACACGTAAGTAGCCATGATTATGATGAATGGAATCACAGAGGCTGAAGATGATAAAAAACTCACAACCATTTCGACATTAGTAGAATCGGAACACGACAGCTTAAATATTGGAATTAAGTCACAATAGAAATGATCAATGATATTGTCTTTACAAAAATACAAAGTTTTAATTGCACTTAAAGTGATGGACATGATCAGGAATGCCAAAGCCCAACAGACAAGGATCAGACAAACACACAACCTGGGGCCCATAATCAATGTGTAATGAAGAGGTTTACAGATCGCCAAAAATCTATCGTAAGACATTGCTGAGAGAAGGAAGCTCTCCGTCACAGCAAATATACCAAATAAGAAAAATTGCATGAAACAGCCAGCAAGGGAAAAAATAGCCCCATTTCTAAGTAAGATATAGAGCATGGGGGGAATGATATTGCTGGTGAACAGAATTTCCGACAGAGACAGATTGGAGAGGAGCACATACATCGGAGAATGTGAAAGTTTAGTGAAGAACACCAACAAGATGATCAAGAGATTGCAAGTCAAAGTCACAGTGTAGGTGACAAAGAACAGGCCGAAGAGGACAACTCTGTAGCTTTGGTGGGTCCTCAACCCAACAATAAAGACATTTTCAATCGATGAATCATTCCGAATTTCCGGCAAGTGTTGCGGAGTAAATTCTTCCATGCCTTCAATAAATAGGAAATACATACAAATTGATTTTACAGTTTTATCAAAAGTTTCATGTTGTGTCACTCAAAGGGTCTGACCATCCGATAGAAAAAATACATTTTGCATGTCCCAACAACCAAATAACTGACCAAGTGCCGGACACAATATAAATGTGATGTCAGGTACAATGTTGCTACAAAAATAATCAAATACAAAGTGCCACTTGGAAAGAAGATGGTGAATACCTACCTCTCCCACCGTCTGATCTGCACTGTATTGTGAGAGGGGGGTAGGGGGGTTGGGAGTTTGTGCTGTGGGAGGAGGGCTGGGGGTGCAAGTAACTGGTCTTGCCTAGGGCGCAAAAAAGTTTAGCACCGGCCCTGCGTGGAGTTAATACGTTTGCTGGCTGCGACACCTCAAATACCCAAGAAAATCCATGTGCAACAAATGTCCTGGTGAACCTTGATTGGTTTAATAAACAAAAGTCAATAATTATGGAGATAATTAAGTGGTGATTTTTAAAATTTGTTAGTTGGCCAAAACATTTTTAAAAGTGCAACATAGCAACAGCTGGCTGCTAATGCTGTGCTACCTCAGCAAATCTTTACATGTGAAAATAAAAGTGTGTGGTGATACATAGAATTAACACTGTATGATATGAAGACTTAAAAATACCAAAAACAAAAAACAACTGTGATATAAAAAAGAATTCCTGAAACATTTAAACATAAAAACATCAACACATGAACATAAAAAAATCAAAGTTTGCGCCTAACAAACAGGTTCGGGTTCTGGTACAGGGACACAGTGCTCCGGTAATTAGTGCAGCCTAAGTATCCCTAGACCTAGAAAATAAAATTGTGTACAGCTACATAGAGATATCTCGGTGCACTGTATAGTATGTAGACTTAGTAGTTAAAAAAAAAGACCAAAAAAAAACGAGATACAAAAAAGAATACATGACATGAAACATAAATACATTAAAAATAACACTCTGCACCTAACAAACAGGTTCTGGTGCTGGTACGGGGGACACAGAGCGCCGGTAATGAATGTAATCTCAGTATCTCTGGAACTATTAGAAGGTTCATAATAGAGTTGAGGGTTTCTTTTGGTATTATATGGAAAGTTTCAGTATAAGTCTCCTCTTTTATACATTGGATACATTTATAAAAAATCATTTATTATTTAAATATAGAAGGAATTTTGTGCTTTACACCCAGTATGTGTGTGATGTGTTTGGTGCCATTCACCTCACCTTTCATAAGACTAAACCATGAAAATGATCCTCTAATTCTGCAGGTTTCCTCTACTTTCAGAAAATGTTTTTGTTTGCCGGGACTTCAGTGAGATTTGACGTCTGTGCCGTGTGTTTTATTGTTAGATGTAAAAACTTGAGATCTGGCCCTGACAGCCGGCATAGAAAACTTGAAGCTTGACCTTGGAGATGAAAGGGTTAATATCATCAACCATAGACATCAGGGTTTATTTTGTAAATCTTTACCATCAGACAATAACATGGTTTGCTGATACATAGAATGAACACTGTATGGTATGAAGACTTAAAAATACCAAAAACAAAAAAAAAACAAATGTGATACAAAAAAGAATACATGAAACATTTAAACATAAAAACATCAAAGTACGCACCTAACAAACAGGTTCCGGTTCTGGTACAGGGGCACAGCGCTCCGGTAATGAGTGCAGCCTAAGTATCCCTGGACCTACTAGAAGGTTTATAATAAAATGGGGGTGCCTTTGTGTTTCCTGCTTAGTTACTATTATAGAAAATGTTTTAGTATAAGTCTCCACATTCACATTTGTCAACATTTATATTTGTACATTAATTTTGTTTTTGTTTTTAATATAGAAGGAACTGTGTGCTCTCTATCCAGTATGTGTGTGATAACAATGTGATTGGTACCATTCACCTCACCTTTTGTAAGACTAAACCATGTCAATGATTCTCTAATTCTGCAGGCAGAAAATGTTTTTGCTTGCTGGGTAGTTCAGTGAGATTTGATGTCTGTGTTGTGTGTTTTATTGTTAAATGTAAAAACGTGAGATCTGGCTCTGACAGCCGGCGTAGAAAACTTAAAGCTTGGCCTTGGAGATGAAAGGGTTAATATCGCTAAATGCGGACACACCCGTTTTTGGGTATTTTTTGCAAGGACTGATCAGATGTGTCCAGTGCAGTGCTCTGTATTAAATTCTAAAGACAACAATGTGACACCTTTCATAAAATTAAGAAGCAGATAATAAAAACTATATAAAAGAGGAAAAGATAATGTAATCAGCCAGTGACAGAACATGTGCTCTAGTTAGCACAGGAAATAATGAACATTCTACACGAGTCCGCCGTGTATTTATACCTTCAATGTCTATAAAATAATGAGATGTAATTGTTCTCTGCAGAACAGAAGCGCCCGGGGGATAGTCTACGGTCCCTCAGATATACATCTGATAATAATCATACGAGAGACATTAATTAACCAAATGAAGAAAATTTAGCTCGAGGAATGAAAAGAAAAGAGAACGTGTAATATATTGTAATGCTATGACATGCCGTGTACTGAATATAGACAACCAGTTCCGGATATCCTGCATCAAAATAAATTAATACATAAATTAATAATTAATAATATTTATTATATAATAATGATAAATAATAATTTTTATAATTTGATAAAATATGTATAATAATAAAAAATAAATAAGCAGTATTTTCCTTTTAACCTCATCACACAGATGTGCTGGCATTGTAGGTGTAATGGTCAGGTGTCCATGAACTTTTGCCCATTTAGCGTAGAACTGAAAGGGCAGCATGTATTTGCTGTATTGCAGGATACAACTGTTTACAGAAACTCCAGATTCCAACACATCTAGGAGTTTAGGATTCAGGCTCCCAGGTGGACTCTGTGGTTCCTAGGTCCCGTAGGTCACAGCACAACACCATAGTGATGTTGGAGCCAGCAGATTGAAGCTCTTGGTGGCAGTGGGCGACTTTCTGGAGCATGTAGGGTTTTTAAGACACTTCCAGCAATTGTATTTCTGTAATACATGAGGGATTGGTGGCAGGAGAGCTCGGCATGAACTCTTTTTAAAGGGGTTACTTTAGTATATCTATTCCCCCAAAACTGAAATGTAATATATATTGCAGCTTATATGTCATGTGATAGTTTTTTTTGTTGTGTTTTTTTCAGGCTAAGAACATTTTGAGGAAGTAAAACAAATACCTGTTGATCTTGCTAAACCACTTGCATACCACTTCCCGTAAGCAACAATTCGAAGCGGTTCCTATAAGTAATAAATAAAGTCAATTCTGAAAGATGAAAATCACATTTCAAAGAAAACAATAGAAGAAGAAATAAACAATAGGGAGCATTTATCAAAACTGGAGCAGACAAAATCTGGAGCAGCTGCTCATGACAACCAATCAGCTTCTCTCTTTCATTTTCAAAATTTAACCAAACAGTCTAAAGAGAGAAGCTGGTTGGTTGCCATGCACAGCTGCTCAAGGTTTTGTCTGCTCCAGCTTTGATAAATCCCCCCCCCCCCCTTGTATTGTTCAGTAGACAGAAAATGTTCTTCACTTATCACAGGAAATAATGAATTGCTCGCCGCTGGTCTGAGCCAGTGATATACCATCAAGGAGAGTGAAAATGTAATTTGTCTCCATAGAACGGGCGTTTGTGGAAGTTTTATTTAGGTGCTCTGACTTCCTCTAACAATCCAAAAACACACGTGTAGGTTAGGTGGCTTCCTGCACGAAACTGACCATAATATGGTGGGAATATTAGACTTTGAGCTCCTCAAATGGGGGATCCGCATTGATATGATACACCTATATACACTATCAAAGAAACTTCACAACTGTAGAGATACAAGTAGTACATTCTATCATTATTATTTTTTCTCTTTTGAATTTCTTTGAGAAACTTTTTGACTTTACTTTTGGTTACGAGGCCGTCTCTGGTTTCGTAACAGGTCACAAGTTGAAAAGTTAAAGTTTCTGCTTAGGATATAAAGGCAGGACCCTGTTCAAGGTTTACACAGCTTCCTGTGGCTTTTCGTTATGTCTCCACAGACAGAAAACTAAATTGTACATTATCATATAAGAATACTTCTACTTCTCCCTGTAAAATATTGAAAGTGAGATTATACTATTATGTTCTGTATAAAGAAACAGAGAAAGAAACTGAGTATCACAAAGACATGGAACGAGGAGACAAATAACAAGGAGACAAATAACGAGGAGACAAGGAACGAGGAGACAAAGAACGAGGAGACAAGGAACGAGGAGACAAAGGGGTCAGATTGTAAAGCAGCTGACACCCCTCCCTGTGATTCTGAGTTACATGATCACTAAACACCAGCTCAGCCTTTGCACATAATACACTGTCCAGGGGGGCTTGGAGAGCTCTGAGAGATTGCTTGCAAAACACAGAGGTAGACACTTCCATGAGGAAATGAAGAGGAAAGCTAACAAAAAAAATAAGTTTCTGTGTTCATATACAGCAACTGCATGTGCCTGCTAGTATGTACACTTGTGTATATGTACACTTGTGTATACTTGTGTGTACATTGCTGGCATATGTGTTTTTTTAATACCCGTGCAAAGGTGGAAATGGGCTTTAGACTATTTTTCATTAATGCTACCATATAGCTTCCAGTTCTTCCCTATTAGGAGCCTTCTACCGTCCTCCTAACATGTATTGTTTGTAACCCTTCTAAAATCTTACTGCCTGCTATTGTAATGTACTTTTCACTTTATTTTTTGCCAAACCACGGGCCAAACCCATTCTCTTTGATATCTGAAAATAAATAACCTTTCCTTCTAACCACTGCCTCCAGTTATTTCCTTTTTTACAACTCATAATATAAATTATTCGATAATATGATTTAGGACAGGGGTCCGGAATTCCAGTTGTGCTGAACACTGTTAGGCAGAAATACAGGATTACCGTATATACTCGAGTATAAGCCGTCGCGAATATAAGCCGAGGTACCTAATT